GAAATAAAATAGTAAATATATTTAATAAGAAATTCACATGGCTATTGCCAAAGATTAGGATGCTAGAGACTCTTGAAGCTAGACTTGAAGCAAAAAAAGAGTTAACAAGAATAAAAAAAAGACTTCACTCTTACTTCTATATATACTATCTATTTAAGAGCTATGTAGTAATGTTCTATAGAACCTCCAATACGTAATCAATTTATAAAACATACATCTAACTTATAAAATAAGTTTTCTATATGTATGCCATATATTTAGCTTATTTCAAAGACTATTAACACATTGTTGCATGGCATGATTTCTTGTTTAGAAATACATTAAGTACTTGGTTATAAAGAGTTTAATTTTAACTTTTTTTTCAAGTTCTAATAAGTATTATATCTTTATTATAAAAAATAAATAAATATAATAATATTAAAAGATATTCTACTAATAAAATGGTTGGATATTTATACATAAGGCTTTCTAAAGTAACTAAAAATATCCTAATATCTTTATTTATACCAAATTATAACTCTTCATCCAACCATTTAATTTTTAAAATTTTTTTGAATAATATAGACTTTATCTTTAAGCTTTAAAATAAAAGAATGAAGTGTAAATCTACTACACATCATTTGGCATTTAAAAAATCTTAGCAAGTGCTCTAAAGCCTAATATACAAGCATTCAAGTACTATTTTCTCCATATTTCAAAAATCCAAATTCCAAATATTATAAAATTTGTATATAAAATTTAATAATATGATAATACACATTCTTAGAAATTTTGAGGCAAAATCTTGTCAAATTACTTAAGATATAGCTTGAAACACAACCATTAGTAAATTAAGTCACTAATTGCCTTAAGATTGCAAGTGTTGACTTCAACTTCTTATATCTCCCTCATGCTAGCTTTGAATTCATTTAACAGTATATGAAAATTGTAGCCAAAAAAGTGCTCTCTCCAACCCAATTTCTGATCTTTCATTGCTTCTTGTATGCGTGCATTATGTCCAAATGAGTAATAATAGGTACAAAACCAATACCTTAACTTTGAACGCCTCTATTTCTTTTATAAAAGCTCAAAATCACACAAAATTTATACCAAAATCATAGCCAAAAATCTAAAGTTTTTGATCTTAACCTCCTAAGTTTCAATGGCCTCAAAAGAATTACCCTAATTTATAATAAGGCTTACAGCAGCCTCCTTGAAGTCCAGTGGGCATGCCTTTTGGCCAATAGCAATGGAGATCTTCATCATCCATCTCCACTCATTCATATGGATGCCCTAACTATTCTTTTTTCAACCAAAATTCCTCTCCAATCTTTTTTTTTATAAAATTTACATAATATATGTCCTAAACATCAAATAAAACAAAATAAATATATATAAAAAAATAAAAAAATAAAAAAATAAAAATTAAGAATCACCAATGTCTAATAAATATGGCTCTAAATATATAAAAACTATTATCAACATAAAATCAACCTCAATACTAGCCTTTTTAAACTAATTACTTCAAAATAATAATCTAATTATATTTTATGATTAATTAAAATCTAATAATATGGCTCTCACCACATTGTATAGTAAATTTTATATTAAATATATATGTACATTATTTTCACATAGTAGTCAAACCACAACATGATAACATTCGTTACATGGATAATTTGTTGGCCAAGTTTCTAATCTATCAAATATCTATGAGCATGTATTAAGGTGAAAATGCATTTATAGAACTTCCATGAAGCTTTTCTATAAGATATAATCAAATTAATATACTTTTACCTACTTCTATTTATTCATATTACCTAGATAATTATTAGAATAAATATATTTATACAAACCATACAACAAACTAAAACTCTACAACTTTTCATGTATAATTTAGATTCAAATCTATTATTCTTCAAATTCTTTCAATTCACACTTTTAAAATGTCAATTCTAATCTTTAATGAAATTTAAATCTTCTCATTTTAGATGAATATAGTAGCAAAATTATGAGCTCATATATTCAATTCAAATAAAATCCTAATGAAAGACATCAAAAATAAGGAGAAGGGAGGAAGATGAGGGAGATGAAGAAGAGGGGAGGTTAAAAAAGGAGAGAAAAAAAAAGAAAAATATGAAATATAAAGAACAAGAATAAGAGAAATAACAAGAGATAGTATTATATTATAACATGGCTTTAAAATAAAATAAAATAAATTTTGATTCATAATTTTAAAAAGAATGAGTAAAAGATAGAAAAATAATAAAAAAAAAAATAGTGTTAATGATTCATTTATATTAAGCCTTATTTAAAAGGCCACAAATCAAAATAAAATAAAATAAAATAGATCAAAAAATAAAATAATACATGTATTTTTTGAAATAAAATAATACATGTATTTTTTGAAAAAAAATAATAATAGTTTTTTGCAAAAAATACCTTCAAAAATTAGATGTTAATATCTAGAGATTATTGGTTATAAAATCAAGTTGATATCAAATCCTAAGGCACATAACCGCATCCTTATTAAAAATTTGGAATTATTTTGTTGATTGGAGAGCCAAATTAGAAATCAAACTTAGTAGAATTTGGTTGAGTGTTGTTTATGACTTATTTGACTTATTATTGAATTTTTAAGAGATTTTCAAAGTGAGAGGTGTCTTAAAAGGTTTTAATTATTAATAATTAAAACAAAATTTATATACTTGAAAATTTTGTAAATACTCTAGCATATTGTTGAATGAAATCTTTTGGCCTAGTGCATCTACTTGTCTCAATTTTTTTTTGTTAATTTTAAATCAATTTAATAGCTACATCAAAGGTTATTGAATTTGAACTAGATTAAGGTCTTAGAATTCGGATTCAAAGGTCAATAAAGGTTTCATTGATTTAAAATAATCAACTTGTTAGATTGAAAAAAAAAATTGTAAGTAAATTATTAACTTAATTTTTATTATTTTTTTTAAATTTGAGTGCAAGTTAATGGTTTAAAAAGGTATTGTTGGAAGATCAACATCAAGGTTGGAGAAGGAGGATTGATGACATCTAAGCAATTAAGAAGCTTTTTCTCTCAATTCATATGTCTAATTTTTTTTCAAATTGTTTTGCTTGTTTTGAACCATTAGATTGCAATATGTGCAAATTTTGAAGCAAGATCAATAATTTAATCAATACTTATTGAAGTTTTGAGATTGCTACATGGTTGATTAGGATTGGTGAAGTTTCAATTAGAATTTTATTAGGGTTGGTTAGGCTTACTAGGATTTATTTGGAATTTGGTCATGGTTCGGTTAAGATTTTATTAAGGAATAAATTAGGATATTTTTGAGATTTACTTAGAGATTCTTCAAGGTTTCTTTACAACTTCTTTAAAACTTTCTTTAGAATTTCTTTAGAATTTTTTTATAACTTCTTTGGAATTTTTTAAAATTTTCTTTAATGATTTTTTAAAGGTTTTTTTAAAGATTTTTTATGTTCTTTTATAATTTCTTTAAGGTTTCTTTATGATTTCTTTGGTTATTTTTTAAGAATTTCTATAAGATTGCCTTCTAAATAATATGATTTTTTTTTAAATTAATATTTTTAAAAAAATGTGATGTTTTTTTTCATAAATTATCTAATGATTATATTTTTATTCTTTAAAGATTTTTTATGTTTGGAATAAAATTTGACTATAATTATTAAGGTTCAATTAAATTTTTTTTTTAATTTTATTAAAATTGCTAGATTATTTGATTATTGCAAATACAATTTATCTTTGTCAACCAAATGTCCAATGCATTTCCAAGATAGTTTCTACATAATAAAACAATGGGAAATAGGGAGAACATGGATAAAGAGAATGGAGTCAAAAAATACAATGTTTGGAACAAGTGACATGGGTTGAAAACAAAATTAAAGAACTAGTGAAACAAGGGGATAAAGACGAGGACATGAGACAATTCAAGGTGAGGTAGAATTGGTTTTAAATGGCTTAAATCAATGATTTTGGACAATGTTTAGAACCTTAGACAATCAATGATTTTTGTGGATAAACAAACAAAAAAATATAATTTTTTATATAAATGGATACATATAATAATAATGTAAAGTACAAAATTATTAGGAGTATTTTTAAGGTTTTATAAAACCACAAATTGCACAAAATAGGAAAATTGTCCTATATACATTTTAAGTTCTAATAATTATGTTCTTAAATTTATATATATAGATATATATAGTTTATATGAAGAACATCAATAACAATAGTTTTTTGGGGGAAATGTTTAATTGGTAAAAGTTGGTGTTTATCAATTGTAAAGATAATACAAAGTATAGATATGTTTCATTATCAATATTTGAAAATTTGTGTAGATTATAATATAACACAAAACATCTGAAAGCAAATGTACAAGAGATGTGATTTACATTAGGTAGTGTAGTATAAAAGCCAAAAACACTCCATTTTTCAGTAACAAATTCCATTGTTACAGTATTCTTAAAAGTTATGATATTTCCAATACTTCATGTATTCAACATAACAACAATCCTCATTGTTCTACCAAATCGTTATAACAGATTGCTTTCAAAATACTATGAAAACATTAAATTTGTTAGTATTTTAGTATTAGAGAGAAGCTACTGCACTTTTTGTTTGCTGCCCACATCTATTGACCTAGTGGAAAATGAATATAACCAAAAGACAAACTCTTATGAAGAAGTGCATGTGGATCAAGAAAATCCCATCAACACTTGGTGATGACTTCCTCCAAATTGGTTTTATTGCCTGTTCGTTGCTGTTTTCAAAATTATTTTAAACTTTGAATAATAACAATAGAAATAATAATGATAAAAAAGAGATTCAAAAATGAGAACATAACCTTCTCAGAATCTCAAGAATATTAACCCCTTTTAACGTGAAATATCTTTAAATGAATATTTGTACTGGACCAAAATTTGAAAGTGACATATTACTCGTACAATTTAATCCGACAATTAACTAGGAACTCCTTCGATGCTCTTCACCTTAAACCTGGTCATTGAAGGAATCAAAGTAGATTTCTGTTCTATTATCACTCTCATTACCGATACATCATATAAAACAGAACAAAATGAAGGATGCCTGCTACAAAACTTTCATTCCGGATTATCTCACCTCCTGTATGAGAACAAATTGAGGGAAGGAATACAAAAATGTAAAGTACTGAAGTCTTTTCACAAGGTAAAACATGAACTCCCTTGTAAAATATGTGGTTGCTTGAGCACAACCAAAGACCTGGCTCTAATACTTCAGAGACATTGATACGATTTTTACAATGATTCTTGAACATTAGTACACAGGCTACTCAGGATTGCTTCCGATTTCCTTTCATAACAAAGTCTTGGCGCATTAGATTTGCTCGAACGAGCATAGCTCTAGTTTCTCTCTGAAAATCAGAGCCGGTTTGCAGCACTCGCTGAAACGTCGTATTCCGTTGGTCTGCATGTCGTGCGTACAGAATCTTGTTGTGAGAGTCGATTCGAGCCTGCAACAATACATTAAAAAAAACAATAATTCAAAATCCTGACAAAATTGATCATTTGCAATGGCTCCTTTACGTCAGGTTGAAAGTTTGTGAATTAAATCAATACGTCTCCTCAACTAACCCATGAACCAACGCCACAAGCACAAGACGCACAAGGTATCAAACAGAATACATACTGCTATAAATGAAAGCTTAATATTGAAGGAAACGAAAACGTCACAGCAAAATACGTGACGTTGAACAGAGTGGGTTACCGGAAGGGTACCTGAATCTGATTTTCCGTGATGAGAGCAGCTAGTTCTTTCTCTAACCCTGCTACACTGGTCTTAAAAGAGCTGGCCATAGTGTTGAGATCTACTGAGATGAAAGGATTCGTGTACTGAATGAGGGCCTTGTGACTTATTTGTTCATATAATGTCCCCACATGATCGTATAGATGAATATCAAGTAATAATTGAGGTTTAAGTTTTTGCAAGTATCCCAAGCAAGAAGCATATCGACTGCAAAATAAAACAAGAAATAAAAAGGAAAATAAAGAAACCTGGTCAGCAGTACAATCCTGAGGTATAACGTAGTACATGTTCAAAAGCCGTTTAAGCATAAGGTAATACCAAAACAGTTTAACACCACCATAATTGTGTATTATACACTTGTTTCTAAAGAAGACTTGCTATAAACCTATCAGCACACTTACCGCTATAAAATTACTATTAATTTACCACGACATAAACTGCGAACCGAAAATTTTAATTGTCTGAAAACAAAGGAGTATCAGTTGGTACTAAAATAATTCGTACCTTGCATAAAAGTCATGGATCAGCTCTCGCACTTCAGGGATCAGTTCCAAAAAATTCCGGAAGTTGATGTTGTCGATCACTTTACTCTACAAATACAACCATCAAAACTTGCAATGAACTAACTGCAGCATGATAAACCTTACAAACTCAAGTTAAAACATAACAAAGCAGTTTACCAGCTGCAAAGGAAGCCAAAACTACAGCATTGGGTGTGAGGAATTTTCAAGAATAAATCTCTCCTACCGGGCTAATGCCAATCCAATGTTCGTAGAAACCCTCTAGTTTTTGAACCTCGTCTCATATCATTAAATACATCGACTAAAACCATGTTTCTCTCTCAATAGTGCCCCGATTCTCTACTCCAATTCCTCTCAAGTTTCCAACCAAGAGAACGGACAATATCCTGTCCTTGTGGCAGTTGGGGACGATCACCAATTTCATTTGGCATTTACTCCTTCTTTCCCTCGGTCTCTCTTTCTCTCATTCGTCTGTACCTCTGAACTCTCGATGTCTCACACGTACCCCTTGAATGCAATGGAACATAACCCGTTCTAGAAATTTTAGTTGTCACCAACATACTGTGGTCCTGGCCAAAATTCACATTAAAATTATCAAAAGAAATTGGAACTCTACCTTAAGCTCAGCCCTGTCGAATGATGCAAGAGCGCAAAGACCTCCATATGTTGCAACATCTTGAGGAGCTGTTACATCTGAATAGTTGCTTCCCAACTCAAAGTTCGTGTCAACAAACTGCGTAAAAAACCCATGATATGAGCTGCTACGCCACTTCAGAAGTGTCTGGAACTTAATCCAACTACGTCACTCGCATCTCTCAAGGACCTGAACACGGGCAGCTTTAAGCATTTCGTCAATTACAACTGGAGTACCAATTCACCCCAAAAAATAATCAAAGCTATTTGGCTAAAAACAAAGCTGAAACTGAAATCTCAGAACAAAGAGAGCTCCTATGCACGTTACTCAACCTTAGTTGTGACTTTTATTACCAAGACAAAATTTGGGATCAAGCAAAGTAGACAATAAACATTTGGATAAAGTCAGATGAGTACCTTACGCGCAGCTAACTTGTACTTCTTACTCTCGAGGTGTGCTAAACCTGCCGCACATTTAAGTTTAGCAAGCACCACGGGGTCTTGCACGTCGGGAGTTTGATCAGCTTTCGAAACGTAATTTGAGACATGAACAAAGTGTCCAAGCTCAATGCTAACCAAAATGACATTTAAGCACATAGCAATTATGTGTTTGGAGGTCGTACAATAGTCCCGGGTCCGCACATAACATTGGAAGGCTTGCTGAAGATCACCGCGCGAATAATGAAAATCGCCAAGGTCATTGTAGCCCATTCGTATACTCTCCTTTATCAGGTTTGTCTAACAGTAGAGAAATGTTAAAAAGGAATTCTGGATACTCTAAATTACTCTTAATTCATAAGCTGAAAAACTCATGCACCTTCAAAATATCAAAACATGATAGTAATAATTAAGGGTTCAACGTACATAATAAAGTCCTGCCACTTCCATCGCCCTCCAATATTTCAGAATAAATTCTAAAACCTATGTTCTCAACAGAAGGACCAGAAAAAGCACCTTATATCCATTAAGTTCCACTTCGAGTTTTTCCTGCCGCTGTGCAGCCCGACGCTCCACCGTATCAATCCACTCCTGGTCCAATCCGTAACCAAGCCCCAAGCGTCCATTCAACCTTTCCACGCATTCCTTAAATAACACCGTGTTCTCCCCCTTCCGGATCTCATCCAGCGCCATCCGCAACGCCTCGAGATCCAAGTTGCGGGAATTGCAGTGATCCGCGATAAAATGCAAGCGAGCGATCTTCGTGTGCCCCGTATACAGACTCGCGTAGCTCTCCACATCGAACTGCTCCGGCGTCGCTTCTGTCGGCCTCCTCGCCTGATTCTCCCATCCGTCCATCGTCAGGCGCTAATCCACCCTGACCAGCGAAACCTCTCACCAGTCTTGCTGTTTCCCCCTTCAAAACTCACCGCTACGTCGATCTATTCTCATTTTTAGCTCTAATGTGGCCGAAACCACCTCACCTGTGAACTCCTGAGCTCATCTACAACCGAGTGACAATCAAATAACACCGATTGCAACAAGTAGCGATCCAATGCAGCAAGCTCAATAGCAATTGGCGCTGATTGCTCCGTCCTAATACCAACCTGAGCATAATTTAGGGCTTTGATGGGTATTGCCAATTTCGGGCCATGTGAATAAGAACCGGTATTATCCGTGTCTAAGGTCGATCCGATTATGTCCAGGTATTTGAACCCAGTTATCACGACAATATCAAACGACGGGTACGATGAAAGCGTTCATACACGGATGGATGAAACACGGAGAGTCAAAATGCAAACGGATGTTCTCATTTTGGTTCTACTTTTTTTCATTTTTTTTTTTTTTTTTTCAAATTACTTGAATGATAACTGTGATTGAAAACGTGCAATTTATTACACAAATGTCTTATATGTGGAAAAAACACTCCTCCTAGCATGTCCACATATACAATGCCTATCACTTTACTCTTTTATTTAATTGGGAATTCATGTATAATACTAGTATTTGATAGTTTGCACAACTTATTAATACTTCTAAAGTGAATCATAGCTATATTAGCCTACTACATGACATATTTTTTATTCCTACATGTCTTTAAAACCTTATTTGAATCTTATATAAGATAATTTTTTAAAAAAAAAATTAAAATATAAAATATATATATATATATATATATATGAAGAAATATTAAAATTATCCACCCATTTATTGAATCAATCTACCATATTGTGATGAATGAAATGAAAGTTAAGATCAAATGGAAGAGAATAATAGTCTATTTGAAGGTTATATTTTAGGATTATTGTGGGTAAAAAAATATAACCTTCAAATAAATTGGATTTCTTATAATCTTGATTTTACCTATAGTTTAACCCAAGATTGTGCTAGGCAAGTAGAAATCCATAAGACTAATATATCCTAACCATTATTAATAGGTGTGAGAGCTTTTATGTATATTGCAAAAGAAGGGTCAACTTTTGTTATATATGCTACATCTATTGTTGATAGATAAAAGATTAGAAGTGACATTTCAAGCTAATACTAAGATTATAAAGATATTATTAAAAAATATATAAATATCCTTTTAGAGCATTGTCTCTATGGTTGTTCAATTGATCTTTAAGAAAGAGCTCAACTATTATTCAGACCAATCTATAGCCTATCACAAAATAAGTTGGTTGCACTCAAAGAGTATATTGATGAAAATTTGGCTAAAAACTTCATATGCTATTTTAAATCTCCTACCTAGGCTACAATCTTATTTATGAAGAAGGAAGAAAGCTCTTTGCAAATGTGTGTCGACTATCAAGGACTCAATAAGTTCATTACTAAAAATAAATATCTTCTATTTTTAATTTTAAAACTTCTTGATCAACTAAATCAAGCAAAGATGTACATAAAAATAGATCTATAGAGAGCATACAACTTGGTATGTATTAACAAAGAAAATAAATCAAAAAATATGTTTTGAATCATTTATAGACAATTCAAATATAATATCATGTTTTTAGACTCATGAATGCACAAATTGCTTTTCAGCATGTAATGAATGATGTCTTTTATGAATTTTGTAATAATTTTGTTGTTTATTATCTAGAAAATATTTTGAATTTTTTTTAAATTCAAGTTTAAGAATAAGCTATTTTATTTCAAAGAAAAATTATATATTCTAAAAAATAAAGCACAATTATTTGTTTTTATAAGCTCATCGCAACTTTCTAACAACCAAATATTTTGAATACAACAAGACTTTGGAGCTAATATGAAGAGATTTTTGGTGGCCTCAAATGTGAAAGGTAATTAAATAATTTTTATAATTATGTAACATATGTTCAAGATCAAAAACTTCTCATTATCAACCTTATAGACTTCTTTAACCATTACCTATTCTAGAACAATCATAATCTTCTATTTTTATAGATTTTATTATGGATCTTCTAGTCTTAAATTCATATGATTCTATATTCATGATAGTGGATTGTTTTGTTAAGATGGCATTTTTTTTTATTATGTGTAAAATCTATCACAAGTAAAAAAAAATAGCTAAGTTTTTCTTTGACAATATTTATTGCTATCATAAATTACCTAAGGATATTATATTAGATATGAAGATTCAATTTGTATTAAGATTTTAAGAAATATTTTTAAAAATTTTAAAAATAGATATAAAGCTATCTTTGATCTTTTATCCTCAAATTAATGAACAAACATAGTATATAAACCAAGTTTTGGAGTCATATTTAAGTTATATCATTAACTATTTATAAGATAATTAGATAAATCTTTTGCCATTAAAAAAATTTGCTTATAATAATATGATATATTTTTCTAATAAATATATTTCTTTTCTAATTATAATTATCACCTATACCTTGATGCTTTTGACTTATCAAAAATTAATAATCCTATAACAAAAGATTTGGCAAATTATTTATAAGAATTACATACAACAATAAAAAAAAAAAAAAAAACAACTAAAAGAAGCTCAAGAACAACAAAAGACCAATGTAGATGCCTATTACATAGAGCAATCTCAATTCCACATTAGACATAAAATATGATTATTTTGTCACAATATCAAGATTAATTATCCTTGTGACAAATTAGATTATTATAAGCTTGAATTATTTCCTACTTATAAATAAGTAAATTGCATTGCTCATCAATTACATCTATTAGAATCTAAGAAGATCCATCCTATATTCTATGTGTCTCTTTTTGAGCCAAATAAGATAATGAATATCTTTAGAAGAAGACAAATGCCACTTCTTCTTATAGAAGTAGATAATAATAAAAAAATTGAGATAGAAGAAGTTTTAGGTTCAAGTCAATACCAAAATAGATTAAAATAACTTATTTATTGGTGCAAATATGATATTAGTAATTGTATATGGGCGCTTGCTAAGAATCTTACAAATATAATAAAGAAGATTGATGCTTTTAATTAACAACATCTATCAAAAATAAAATAAAGAATAGCAAGATCCATGAAAGATGATGATCGCTTCTTGTAAAACTCATTTCTAGAAGGAAGAAATAATATCATTGATATATATATTTATCTAAATAAGAAGTATTAGTTAGAAAGTAAATGTAGATAGATTTAATATTATCTTGTGGTAAAGCTTCTTAGAAGCTTCATAGATGCATATTTGACTTTATATATGTTTATAGTTGATTAATAGATTAGAAACTTTGCCAACTAGCTAGCCATATATTGCACGTATTGCTAACTTGTAATATAAGCTAACAATATGGTGGATAAATAAGAAACTTATCTTATAAGCTAAGATATGTGTCTTCTAAGGTCAATACATATTGGAGGTCCTATAGAACATCACCAAGTAGCTCCTAGTTAGATAGTATATATGGAAATAAGAATGAAGCCTTCTTCACTCTTATCAATATCTTTCTAATCTTTAACCTTATTTTAAGACTTTCCAATATTCTTATCTTTTGTAATATTTATTTTAGTTTAATATTATACCATCTTTGAGTGATTATCTAGTCTTTTTGAGTAATATAAGAGTAATATGATCTTTCAATTCTTCAAGTTTCATATCCTTGATATTAGATATATTTAGAATTAAATACAAGATCTTCATTTGAAATAAAATATTTTAAAAAAATAACTTCAATTATTTAAAATATATAATTTTTAATCTTTATATATAATTCTACATTCTTAAGTTTTTGTAATTCATGACAAATATAAAATTCATACTCTTCTGTAATATAATATTCAAAATATATATATACTTGGTTCAAATTTTAGTCTATTATTAATTTCTTTCTTAAATGTATACAAAGATGTATGATCTTCAAAGTCATATTTTTGTACACATCTTAATTTGATTCAATTGATCAAAAAATTTAATATTAAAAATATAAAAAATCTATTTTTTATAATAATTTTATAAAGTCCTTGATAATCCATGCATATTTGTAGTCATTTGTCTTATTTCTTCACAAATAAGATAGATGTCTATATTAAAGCTTTTGAATGGTGTATTAAATTTTTGATTAAGTTTTTATTAATATATTTATTGATTAAAGCTATCTTATTTTATAATAAGTTATAGATTGGTTTAATTAGTAATTAATTTTTTTTTGAAGATTAATTTAGTAATCATAAGAATAACATTTTAGAAGAACGTCAATTTCTTTTTAAAATAAAAATTTGGTTGTATTAGACTTATGATTTTCTACAAAATTAATAAAAATCTTATTTTTCTATAAAAAAAGTTGGAATTACAAGAAATCTAATCTATTCAAAAATTATACTATTAGAGCCATGATAACCTAAAAGAACCAGGTTGAAAAGAGATCTAATTACATTAAATATTATTGATCTATTGTGATAATTTGTTTCTACTTATACATGAATATTTTCATGAATAACACTACTAGTATATTAAAGACAACTATTTATGACTTCTTTATGTATGAACTTATTTTTCATTATTAAAGATATTTTATATTTTTTTAAATAAAATCTTCATCTAAAAAATAATTGAGGCTTTTAAATTTTATAAATTGGAGGCTTATTAACCTTTAGATTCTAAATAAATATCTATTGCAAAATAAGATAAGGGATCTAAGGAGACAATTAGACTATTTAGTAGGTGTTGTAAAATTTTTGACTCCATGGTTTCTATTGTAATTGAACAAAGTTTTTTTTTAATCCATTGTTTTCTTTGATAGCCATGCTATTCATTTTGTAGTTGCATTGCTTCTTTGAAAAATGTTGAACAATATGCTTAAATTTTCTATAATATAAGTATAATAGTTTTTTAATAAAATCAAATCTTTTTTTGCTTTGTGAGATGTTTAAAACATACAATATCAATTTTTATAGATTCTAATCTTAACAAATTAGTTTCTAAAAACTTAGGAATTATTGTCAAATATTTATTTATTTTTCTTCAACCAAGTCTTTGTTCTTCACATCTTTTAAAAGTCAATTATTACATGCAATGGCTTCAATAATAAATTATGCCATTGAATATGCTTTCAACATTGTTAATAATAAATCATTGATATGATCTTTTAATCCATATTAAAAATAATTAAAAGATGGCTTTATTATTCCAATCTATATTACAAGCAAGATTTTGGATTTTGGCAATATATATAGTAGCTAATCATGATCTTTGTTGTAAACATAGAAGTTTGGTCTTTGCTTTCTTTTTTCAGTTACTTTTTCTAAATCTCGCTATAAATACTTTTAAGAATGAATTTAAATCATCTAGGACTTATGAATCTTTTTTCATCAAATATGCAAATTAAAAAAAATACTTCTAAATAAGAGTGTGCCCATGAATCCAACTTGAATAAGTTCATTATAATATTGGAAAAGATGCAAACTTAGATAGGACTTGACTTGTTATAGAAATCCTTCATATTTTGATTTTGTTCTATCAAACTTCTCTAGCATACTAATCCTTGCCTCTCTCATATTTGTAATAGTAAGACTTCTTGAATTCAATTATAGGATTGATTTATTTTTTTTTGTCAACTATACAATTTTTTAACATAGACATTAGATCTCATTGTTGATTTTTTTTTACAAGCATAGGAATAATACTTTAATAATTGATATTGGTAATAAATGAGATTTTCACCCTAAAAATATTGACAAGGTCATGAAGATTTGCAATATTCGCAAATTTATTCTTACTTCTACCAAATATAATATCCATGATTTTACATTCTATCTCTATAATAGATAAATTTAAAAACTCTATAAGTCAAAATAGAAGAAGATATTATACAATCTCTAATATCAAATAAAAAAAATTACAAATAAAGATAGTATATTATTTTTAATAAAATAATTAATGTTAAAAAATCAAAAAATGTTACTTTAAAAGGTAAATAATCTATAATCTTTAAAACATTAGAAAAGGAATGGACTAATCTATTTGCTTTTAAAATATATTATAAATAGTAAATTGGCACTCTTGTAAAATTAATAAGGATACGATTCAAAAAATAAGCAAAGAATTAATATAATCTTGTGTTACTAAAAAAGAATAAATATTTATTCAAACATAGTTATAATAATAAATTTAAAAATAGACATTGCTAAAAATAATAAGATTGAAGACTTTTGAAATAAGTCTAAGAACAAAAGATAATGATGGTAATGAGAAAGGTATCAATCTTGTCTCTATATACTATCTAATTAAAAAGCTAATGACAAAATTTTAAATGGCATCTAGTATGCATCCAACTTGTAGAACATGTGTCTAACTAATAAGGCAAGTTTTCAACATATACTCCATATAGCCAATTTATTGGCCAGGTTTTCAACGTATCAATCACCTATCAATATTTAGAAAATCAACTCTACTTCTATAAAGCTCTTCCACAAGATATTATCAAATTTACTTACTTCTACTAATTTCTACCTAATTCCTCTAATTGAAGTATTGCTTTTGTAAATATATTGTCTATAACAACATCACAATTTAAGTCATTGAACTTATATTATTTTGGTTTTTATTATTTCAAAAATTATAAGATTATATATTGAGTAATTATGGTTTATTAATAATATAATTTTAAATAATTTTAAAATATAAATAAAATAATAAAAAATATTATCCAGTTTTAGCAAAAAAATAATAATTCAATTTTTTAACCAAAGAATAATTTTGAATTTTTATGTCTTATATAATAATACAAAAATTTTAAATTTTAAATAAAATAAGTTGATATTATGTATATAAATAGTATATTTATAAATTTATATATGAGCTTAAAAATCAACTTATGCTAAAATTATTTAATACTAAAATTTTTATTTTTTATTAAAAATCTATGAATATTATACATTGTGAATATGAATTTTTTTTTTTTTTAAAACATGTTAAGGATTATTTTTGGCATTGTAATATTTTGAAAAAATAACAGTCTCATTTATTTAACTTACTTAAGTATTTTTAAAATTACTTCTTCATTTGACAACAATATATCATTAGTTTTTATAAAATAATTATACATTAAAAAACCTTCTTTAAAAAAATTAAAATTTTCACATAATATTTTGTTAGTTTTATTACTATAAATATTAATTTAATTGAAATTAAAATAAATTATCAAATTAATATGCATATCATGAATACAATATCTAATCTACATTGTAAGTCTGAAGAAACACACCATATGAATCAAGCAATCAATGGTTCTAAAATATTCAAAGACAAACCATAGTTTAGAATGAAATATGAATAGTATTTAAGATCTAGCTTTCTCCTATTGCTTAAGAAGAAGGAAATTTAAGAAATTCTCTACTAAAACTTGAAAACATAAAATATAAATCTATAGAAGTTGTCAATGCTGAGGAGGTTCAAAACCCTATTTAAGCAAAGAAAAGGTATAAAATTAACTAAAAAGATTATATATATATATATATATATATATATATATTCTACGTGTAAAATCCACTCCCACGGTTGAAACATTCTCAACTCCACATGAATAGTTTTATTTGAACTCCTCTTCCCTTTTGGAGACATGTTCAAAGAAACTCCATACAAACTCCAATCAGTCGCGGTCTTAGGTACCGCGCAACCATCCATAAAACCATGAAAGCGGATCCCATCTCCGACCGAGCAGGGAAGAAGCAGAAGAAGGCGACCTTTCACGTAGCTCCCGTTTCCTCCGACGAAGGGGTTTGGCTTCGACGCGGATCGGAGCATCACTTTTGCGAATGCCTTTCAACCGGTTTCGTGACTGTGAATAATTTTAGGCATTACAGTATCAGAATTTTGGCATTTTCGCGCTCATCCATGTCGTCGCTACAGGGTACTCACTACAGGGTACTGGCTTCGGGTTGAGTGAAAAATAGCAATGTAGATGCGGAGGATATGAATTGTTCACATTCTGCTATTCTTCTGTGCGTTGTGTCCACGGCAAATTGGCGAATGATGGGGCGATGTTAACAGCTTTCAGAGACTTGTGGAGTTAGCCCTCCGTTGCAGTTAACTGTCATGGCAAAGGTATGCATGCTTAAACATTGACGAATTGGTTTAGGTACATATGTTTTTGCTCTTCTGTCCTTATCTCTCGGCACAAGCTGTTCGTTCGTCGATTCGCTCCGTGGACATGAAACTTCGGTGGTTCTGGTATGCTGGTCGAACGTTCTAGAAGCTGGTTCAGACACGACCCTTCTTCCATCTTTGCCTGCCGGACGAATAAGATGGACTTTGTAATGTTGTTCACGACTAAGTATCAGTAACAATTTCTCATAAATCCTTTCGTCGCTGTGGAGGAATTCTGCTCTGTTCTGAGTGATGTTCGTCAACTGCGTCTTCATCAACAACCGGATCTGCCTTGTGACTTTTGTACTTTGTGGACATTGATTTTATGCCCAGTGTCCTTATCTTTTTTTGTTATGAAAATAGAGGTAATGACTAACGAACGCCGTCAAAATACTCTTCAATTGTAGCAATAGAAACCGACATGGCTTATTGATCGCATGCCGAGTGGACAGCATCTGAACGTAGCATTCTATTTCTTGCGTTTCTTCGTGGGTCTCAAGTTCCATTTTTCATTTGGCAAAGCATTTATTCTCTTCAAAACACTGTTTTGCTGTCCTGCCTTGGATTCCAAAGTCTTTCTAAAGATCATGGCCGACAAGAAGGTGAACATTGACGACACCCCACCTGCAGGCAAGCTCCTGATTTCTATTTGCAAGAATGTGGTCGAACCTTGCTTTTCCTCTGTTAAAGTTGTTCGTAGAAATGATTTACATGTAGATAATCTTTGTTGGGGGATTCACGCTGTGGTGTTGCTTGACAGATGGAGTCGCACCTCCAACCGAGGATGAGAAGCCTCCTCCAACGTTCGAACAAATGTGGTTCAATGACCCTGTCGAGGTGCATACCGGCACCTTTTCAGTGTTTCCACTTCATATGAATGCACTTGTGCGAGCTGCCTTGCAATAGTATTCTGCTATGCTCTCAATTATGTCATCACAAATGTTTTATGCTTTTTATGCATTAAATCCTTCAAGGCACTGAATTGCAATGTGAAAGTTCATATCTAAATTTCAGCGATTCCAATACATTGCCTTAGCACATACGGTAGCAGAAGCCTACATGCATTAGAGGAAATCACTAGCTCCAGCCGGTCTTCAGAAAGCACTTACATCTTACCTGGCCTAAGAAACGAACTAAACCCACATAATGAAGGCTCCACGTCACGCCACTCCAAAGAATTGAATTATTTAAAGAAAAGTGCAATAACGCAGAAAGTAACTGACAAAAGTATCACTCCTGAAAAAAGATCGAGGGCGATTTTGTGCGTGCTGCTAATCCTGTATTTTGTTGCAGGGTCGGGAGGCGCAGATGTTAGCGTTAAAGCTGCGAGATGGTGTTGTATTGCGTGCTGAAACCAATAGGATCTATCTGGTGGGTTGCTTACTCTTTTTATTTGACATGCTTCCGTAAATGTGCTGATCACAGAACTGGATTTTGTCAGAATGAAGGGATTTCACTGACTTCGTCGAGGCGATTGACACTTACTTGTTGATCAGCACTGCCCACGCGCTCAATTCGCCATTACGAACTGGTATGTGCAGGAAAGAACTGGTATCGTGACATTCTTGCTGCAAGGGTTAAAACACTTGGCGAAAGTAAGGTGCCCACCACATCCTTCAACGTCTGCTATGATTAAGAGGATATAGGATGTTAAAATTTTACCAAACCTTCCGTAAATAAACTAAATTATACGGCAAATGATTTCAATGGCAAAATTTACAAGCCCTTACAAGTAACAATGTTCCAGGCCAAGTGACCCAGCCGAATGGTTAGCAGCGTTTTTCCTGAAGAACAACCCACGCAAAAATATGATCATCACACCACCCAAAGTAGTAGATCCTGATAATCCAGTTCCCATTGGGTAAGCTAAAAGGTTAGGGCAAGGGCGCAACGCCGATTGTGTCACTACCTGACGTAGTGAAAATCTCCCCTCAAGAAAAGACATGGATAGACTAAACCCCAAAATCTATGGACGCAAATGCCTATGACAGTGAGCAACCTGAAATTCATCGCTAGACAGCAAAAAGAATCATACAATGAGAACGACTGGGGCGTGTACTCCAACAATGATCTAAGAGATGCCCAAGATGTATGAGGAGACCAATCAAGATGACAAGTACCTTCAGGTTGTTAGGTATCAAAAGAGATCAGAGTAACTATAGTAATATAATATGCAAACATGAAGTATATGCCAATTCAACTCTCAATGAAACTTCTTGCCCAAGAGTACAGCTTTATTCATTCAAAATATCTGCCATTGCTCTATGTTGTAGTGCCCCACTTAATAACCACCGAAAATAAGCAGTACATAATGGAGGCTTCTATATGTACATTTAAGAAATTCATTATTCACGAACATGTGCTGTAAAAAACTGAAGTTTCTGTAAAAGAAAGCGATTGTCAATAACTGTTGGACCGATAATCTTTAATTCTCTGCCTTCTCTGACCTGCAAGGCAATTAAAATAGAGATTTATAAGTAATTGTGACCCCATATCTATCAAACCATACTAATGAATAAAGCAAAACCTAACTCCTTCCAATACATAAGTTAGCTACATTCGGAAACAAATACACGAAGTCGACAAATACTATGGCTACAGGTAGATAACTGTTTGCAAGAATCGCAGTTACATGAGAGATACACAATATTCTTAAATTACACATGAAAATGGTTACAAAATGCTTCTTTACACTCTTTGAATTAACTTGTTGCGGTCAACCATGCCTCGAAAGGTAGGAGATAGTCTACACGCAAGACATCACCACATGCAGTAATGATGATCCAACTTCAAAGATATACTACTCTCAGAATCGCACTTGCAAATTTTAAAAAACTAAAATTCCTCTCCGTTGTTGGTAAAAGACCCATCAACTTGCCGAGAAATAAGAATACTAATCTTTTGCGAGGTGTAGGAAATGAGGAAGATGAGGGGGTCAACTCACTTCCGGACACAAAATCTGAACTCTCTTCCTCTTTTCAAGTCTAGTTCGCCCTCCTCCAACTGCATGACCACATCAAAACATCCGTCGGATGAGGTCAACCACAACAAGAACACCGAGCTTCAAAACTGTAGGCTTCATATGTACCAGAACACCCGCTACACGTAACAATATTACAAAAGTACAGTATTTCATGTACGCAGCAAGACATGCAGAAACCTATGAAAGCGAGGTAGCAGATTCTCCTTACTAGGATAATTGTCCTGTCCATTGAAGAATGTAACAAGGAGATCGTGTTCAGGTTTAAGGACAACATTTTAGCCTTTTAAAAAAAACTGTAGGTATTGGTCGCTTACTGGATCATTTCCATAGACGGACTGGTAGCAATCAGGAGATAAACATTTCATAGCACAATTCTCCTTGTCAATGGCCGATGCCTTGCAAGCTTCACCCCATAGTCCACTGTAAAAGTACGAGAGAGGTTTAATTATAAACCCAACAGCCTCGAAGCAATACCTGCTATCTTTTGATAGAAATGCGCCATAACATATTCAAAAAATCTGGAAAATTAAGTCAGGCCAATGCGAGGAGAAAGGGTTACAGACTTGCCTACATGTCTATGTCTTGAAAGCAGGCGGCCATCCGCTGACGATACACTTTCTCCTGCCATTTCTGCAGACGAATGTTATTAACACCACGTGGAACACGGCATGAAATTTCAAATCTCACTAGTTCTTGTATCCTAATTAGGGACAGCAAACATAGAATTCGCACAATATCATGCACATCCTGCCGACATCATGGAAGAAGAAAATACTGCCAGCAATCCCAGCCCATCACATACTACAGATTGCGATAGTTAGCCCTAATCACAACAGAAATGAATCAGACACCTCAACCTGTTGACAACAAGGGAAATTGCAGCCCTGCAGTTAATGAATAGAGAGGCAGACGTGCGTAAAAAGATTGGACGCGGATAAAGTAAGAAAGTGCGTACAGCGAGAGGAGAAGGCCCGTAGTGACTGCTGATAGCCTGCACAGGAGACGCTCCTGCTCCAAACACAAAGAAACACAGAAGCACGAGTAGGAGAGGAAATCTGAACATAGTGGTGACCATCGTCGCAGCAGAAGTCAGGTTCGAAGTTCCAACGCAACGTGCCGCAGCATCAGCATCTCCCCGCCTCTGAGACAGTATTCATATCCGAGGATTGATCCTCTCAATGAATCTACAGATTGTGAGCTCGTCGACGAGAGGAAAGCCAGACTGACGAGCTCGGTGAAGCATTCTGCTTCTGGATGCTTCAGTGGACTGATTTCCAATGGCCGTTGTAGTCGTGGAAACGACGAAAATATTATGTGTGAACAAATCAAAGTACAAGGAAGAGCTTCTCCTATGACCGTGAAGGCGACGTAGATACTGCACCTTTCAAAGTGAAACAAATTTGTAGAGCAAATAAGGTTTTCTAGAGTCCTCCAAACAATGGACTTTAACACAATTTTTTCAAAGATATAAATGAATATATATATATATATATATATATACGGAGTTGTTAAAGCTACACACCACATTACTGTTTTTTTAAGAAATATATGAATATATATAGATAGGGAGTTGTTAAAGCAACACACCACATTACTAACTCATGATCAATTCTGTCCATCTCTATTTTTGTTCCATGTCCCTTGTTCCCTATTCCCTAAAAAACAATATGATGATTAATTTGTTCCGTGTCCCTAAAAATTAATCGTCATATTGTTTAGGGGGTGTGGCTTTAATAACTCCCTATATATATATAACACAATTTGAAGAACTCTATTATATAATCTATTCAATAAATGGATATAATTTTCATACATTTAAAATCTAGGTTGATTAATATCAATAAATATAGATTTTTAAATGGAATATATTAAGTATCATAAGATTTATAAGAAAATATGATAAAATAATTTATGTATATTATATTTGGATTCAAGTTCTATACTTGTAAAGAAAATGGGCTTAAATACTTTAAAGAGATTTAAAAAATTATTTTCCTATTTTACATGGTTTTTATTCTTAAAAATATATAGTCTAAAATCTCAATAAAATTAATATCATGTTAATTATTAAAATTATATAAATATATAAAATTATACATATGGCATAAATTTATATACCAAATAAATATTAAATCTCTAATATGATAGATTATTTGTAATAAGTTGGATGATTGTATTTAGAATAAATTCTTATTGTCTTTTATATTTTGAAGTTTTATTGCACAAATAAGCTTTTAATGGTGTCTAATCTATTTAAATATAAAATAATATTTTTTAATCAATTTTTAAATAAAAACTATTTATTGCAATGTAATCAAAATATCCATTACATATGAATTATAATAACAAAATCAAAAGTTAATACTTAATAACTACATGATATATGTTAAATTATACATTTATACATTATTTACTTAAAATATAGGAATGTGTTTTAGGATAAACTATTGTTGAATTAGATATCATTATAAATAAATCTTTAAAGTGAATATTTATATAGATAAATAATCTAAATTGTTCTAGTTTTTTGATATATACTCTTGTTTTGATAGTTCGAAGATGGCAATGATAGTCCAACAATGATGAACACAAGAGAAGATACATTGCTTCAAAAGATGTAGCACACAAGTCTTAAAAAATTATTTTAAAAAGAGTATGACCTCACATATGGATGGAGTTTTAATTTTTTATAATTGCATTAACAACTTTTATTGATCTTTCATTTTACAGTTTCTCAATGATGCAATTTATAAAATCTAAAAACACACATTCAAAAAAGAGCATCACCTCCTAAATTTACAAGATAAAACTCTCAACTTTAGATTAAATACCATTGATAATAATTCATTGAGTGAAGTTTGGAGACAGTTCTACAAAGGCACCCCAACACTAGTATTATTTTATGAAGGTTGTTGCTATGATGTTTCGATGAATGACCCTTGACTACAAATAAAATACATTATTATTGAATATTGTATAGTTGTTATAAGTTGATAGAAATTTTTGTCTTTGATATTTATATCTCTGTTTATTTACAAGGCATTAGCAACATATTGGTACTACTTATCTTTACACTTAAACTTTAATAATCACACTCTAAAACCATGTATTTTGGCTTTGTACATTATGATGCTACAATCCTATTTGCAACAATGTCATTAAAGATTAATTACTTCTATTTTGGAATGTAGAAAGTGAGTTGTTAATATTTTAGTTTTCAATTATATAAATGACTTAAAAAATGTACATAAAAAAGGTTTAAGAAATAATATATTAATTTTTGTATTTGGTAAGATTCTCTCATCCATTTCAATTCATAACCTATTTCTTTTTTAGAGGTTTAATAAAAAAATATTATCTAATCATGTAAAACAGAAAATGAAGAAAAATACATATTGTTAAAAAATTTAAAAGCTAAAATGATAAAAATGTTTTAGAGTGTAGTTCAACTTTTTGTATTCGTTTTCTTAATGCTGCATGCAAACAAGGGCTGATCCCCAAACAAACAGGGAACGCGTTCGAAGCTGATGAGATGAGCCATGCCATACAAAAACGTTAACGAAGATGCGAACGCGGCGGACTCGCCTGCGAGCATTTCATCGTTGCTCCCAGTTAGGGTTTGGTTTGCATACTGACCTGCTTCCATGCCCGCTGCGAGGTCCATGCCCTATCACCTGCTGGATACTGCTGTGGTTTGATCCTGGTTTGCCGGTGCTATCATCACTGAGCTACGAGATTCGGGTTTCTCACGGTTAGCGAGTGGGCTTGAGTCAAGTTATTGAGAAAATACTGCGGTGAGTGCTGGTTTGCTTTCCTCAAGGGAATGAGTGGGAAGTCTTTGTGTTTTGACTGGAAGGCGTGGCAGGGCGAGATTTGAGCATCATGTGATTATCCGCAAGGGTTGCGCAGGGGTCAGGTCTGAGGACAGGTTCACCGACGGTGAGAGTTGGTTAGTGTGGCGGAATGAGAGGTTTTTCCTGAGGTTTTCGTGGTTTTTCCTGAGGTTTTCGTGGTTTTTCCCCAACTTTACCAGGGATGTCTGGATTGAATTCTGGTCTCGGAATCCTGGGATGGCTCTGGATGGACATATGTGAAGAACTGTACCCTGGCGTGTTCTGTTTTCCACGGAATTATTGGGTGATTAGCACGACATAGGGTTACACTACTTTTTCTCCACTTCGGGTGCATTTTGACGTGTACTTATGCCTAGCTTTAAGCAGACGTAAGCAGGTTTCGAGAGTGCAGCAGAGATACCAACTCGCGTTTGGTTGATTCTGCCCACGTCGATATGAATCGTAACGTTAACAAGGATGAAAATCAACCGGATGTTGTTGTCACCAAGAAAGCTTTTAATCTGGTAAGCTGCTGTTGTCTCCGTGTTTTTCCACTTGTGGAGTTTTTCTATGACACAATTTTTTTCTAAGTTTTATTTAAGAACGAGGGGCCCGTGTTTGAATTTGAGGGTAATGGGGTTTACTTTGAGATTAAAGAACTTGGGATGTTACAGGCATGTTCATGGGTTCAGAAGATGTCTGGAGGAGCTGATTTCAACGTGGAAGAAGAGTCTAAAGGTTTGCCTGAGGATGGCATTCCCGATGTTCGGCCACTGAGGTAAGATTGGATTTTTGAAATCTTAAACATTAGTATTCATATTGGATATTTTGAGAGACTTCTTGTTGGTCCTTTCTTCGTATTTGACAAACTTTTTCATGTCTTGCAAGTGACTGACGTCGTTGTATTTTTCCAGGCTAGGATTAGGGGCCAAGTATCTCTCACATTCGCAAGCCAATCATGTAAGCAGTCAAATCGACCGTAAACTTAGGGCTAAGTTGGTGCCTATGTCTAAGACCGCGTCGGGTTATCCGAGAGGCCAGAAGGAGAGAAGTAATTTCAGGGAAGAAGCGGAAGTGGGCAATAACGTTGACGAGGACGAGGACGAGGACGAGGAGGACGATAGCCGCACTTCAATTTTTAAGAAGAGGTCCTGTGCGGATGTCAGACCCGCATTGATATACTCAGACACAGTTTCTATAAAGAAGAAGAAAAAGGGGAATTAGTTCTAATGCATGTGAAGTAAGGGGTTACATGAATAGATTTGTATAGAAAGCAGGATTGCAACAAGCCAAGGCTGAATAGGGACCGCAAGAACGTCTGTATTTTACAAGATGTTACATGCATGGAATGTGTTGAATGCGATATATCATTGACTTAAGAACTGATGATTGAATTTGTCACTTGATGATTATGATCAATTTACACTAACAAATGGGGTACAGTATGGTTGGTCGGTAATTGTACGGAATTTCACTATAATTAATGAGAACGGTACCATGTAACAATTACAAGTATATGGTACTTTATAAAATTGAAGATTATGACACTTTCTATAACAGTGTTATTACAGTGTCATAATTTGAAATTTAGTTTATTCAGTATTTTTCGAGTTGTCTGTACTGTATCAGTAGGTCAGGGAATGTTGTGAGAGTACTTTGGGTAGAGCACTACAAAGTAATATACCCACGTTCTCTCAATAGACGTTGGTCTATGCCACTATGACAGGATTCGTTGAAGATTTGCCCTTCGAGAATCAGAGTTGAGGCACAATATGTGTAAACACTGAAAAGAAAATTTACTGACCCGTCAGATCCTAATTCCAAGTTGTTAACAGCACAGCCATAGCTCTGATGACCGTCGTGATGGAACATTTCATCATGCGGGCAACGACGTTTAAGTAATGCAGACAAGGGAGGGCAAAGAGATAAAACCTAGCATTGTAAATCGAAAGTTGAAACAAGAGGAATTCCTAGAGCATTCGAGAACAGGTCAACTAAAATAATGTGAGACGGATACGTACAAAGAGTACAAAGGTATCCAAATCCCCATAAAACGACACAGAACCAAGTAACAAAAGGCTGTATCTGCGGATTCTGACGCTTGCAGTATGGGATCGGCATAAGGCAAGTAACACGAAACAGACTTCGCGCAAGTGGCTTCTCAACCATTCCGGCGACATCGGCTCTAGCACATGCTTAGGGCAATTCCATCATTGACAATCAGACTCGCCCGGGGTGCATCGTGCGTCGACTGAAACAAACACAGCAGCTACCGTCGCAAGGAGAATAAGCCGTATATTATCTCTGAACAGAACGAGCCTCATCGATCTTAGTAGTATGGTGTGTAATCAGCTGGTCGAGACCATCAAGAGTAGCAAATACACTTTTAATCATCGGCTCACACACTTCAAACGGACAAGCATTGGCAAGATGCCAATGTGAGGAAAAGACAGACAGAACTACAAGAAATAACATTAACAAAAATCTACAAAACACTACAGGACCAGTAACTACCTCCATATCTCTCACAGATGCAGCAAAGCGTACCAAGATAGACAACCCAGAACGGCAGAGCTAGGGTTTATATTCACACGTATTAGGGTTTCTGCAGGTTTCTGGAAGTGCGTCCATTGAATGGAAAGCATGATGTCGATAAGTGCCGACGAATGTTATGTGAAAGAATTATGGTTTTCCGGAGATGAATTATTCATCCAGCATACACCATGTGCTTGTTGTAGAGGTATTCACACAAATAAAGGCATAAACTGATGCTTTATTTAAATCATTTCCTATTGTTCTCGTAATTTAGTTCCAAATACACATTGAATTAAATTTGATTATCAATATGTTAACGAGATAAAAACATCAAGAATGCAGATATAATTTTATAGACAATTCTAGGTTTCAATAAATTATTCCATACACACTACAAACATAATTAAATATATTCTTAAAAAATATAAACTTTAGTTTAGGGGAATGTTAAATAAACCCACCCTTTTACTAAATCGAACCACCCTATCTTAACCATCACTAGAAAAATCATGGTTCTCAGCCCCGCTTGTTCCCAACCCCGCTCCCTCCGTTCCCGGCTCTCATCCCGACCCGCCCCCCGTTCCCACTCAAAGGTTTCGCGGTCGAGTTGCAAAACCAGAGGGTTGATACAAGGCAGCCTGACGTTGGGAATGAACTCGATGGGGTAAACAGCCCTCGTATTTTCTGCAACAAACATAACTCAAAAGATGAGCTCTACCAACTTCTGATAAATCAGTTGTGTAAGATTAAGATAAGTGTGGAAAAGCTGGTGGGTTCAACATTTCAAAATCAACACCGAATGGTAGTCATCGATGAAGAAAATCAGCTTCAAAACTTGTACAACAAACACGGAGTCCGTAGAGGGAAGTTGGAAACTGTACCAGTTATTGATTTGTCGATTAGTCGATTCTGCGACATCATCAACAAAAATAATTTCCACCCATGCCATTACAAACTGATACTTCTTCGCAAATCCACCACTTCGGTCATTGATTGCAATTAATGGGTATTTGTCAAAGATAGGATTAGTGAAGCATGATCCTTCAATCACTAGTGTTTCCACAAGAATTAATTATGGTTTCCTCCAGTTGTCCTTCATTTCAATTTGTAACACAACCGTTGACGATACATGATCATGAATATTTCTTATTGGGGAGGGGACAGTTTATGGCGCATGCTGCCAGCCCGGTTTCGGCAGTCACGAAGTTGTCATTGAAACTCCCAACCAGCAACTGTCGGTTCCAGAACTTCCAGCTTCACATAGCTGAGGTACTTTGATCGAGAAGCTACATGCTCCCAAACTATTCTTCTCCTTGATTCTTCTGTTTTTTGAGCGATATGCTCGTAATTTCAGTACTGGGCAATATTTCAAATGTGTTGAGGTCAGTTTAATGCTTAGAATTGCAAGCGTACCGATCACGCCGGGAGCAGAACCCGGTTGTATGAGACGTGCACGATGATCGGGTGTAATGAAGGCTTTACAGCAACGAGTAACAAGAGTAAAGCGATTGGTGTGGCAGATCGCTAGGTCTCTCCAAGCGTCGACACTGCCCTGCTGTGGAAGGTGGCTGTGCAAATTTGGGGTAAAATTGTGTTGTTGCAGGTGTTAAAAGCGTATCAAACATATGATTTCTTTGACAAACTAACGAGATATTCCTTCTGAAATATATCAATCATCAATTCATTCAAAGATAGATCATGTTTCATTAAAACGAAACCATGTAGACATCTTGTACATCACAACATCAACCACATAATAAAACAAAGTATGAATCTGGTAATCAGTAATTGTGCACCAGGCATAATAAATTGTGCCTGGTGCATTCTCGATGAACGTGCTCATCCAAAGTTGACTATAATTCATTCAAGGGAGTTTGCACCTCCACATCCTTCAAACTTTTTATCCAACTGGCACATTTCGAGAAACCACTAGAAGCCCTAATCTACGTCCATACAAACTGTAGGTCGCAACTTTCATCTAACAATCTTGGTTGGCTTGGCTACATCGCTTCGAGATCTGTCGGGGGAATTCAGCTTGATTGAGTCGTGTTGTTTAATTGTTGAGATCGTTTCTTTTACTCCGTGGTTTCTGTTCCTCGGTTCGGCTATTTCGTCAATGCCTGTCCGCTTGAAGTGTGTGAGCCTATGATTAAAAGTGCATTTGATACTCTTGATGGTCTCGGCCAGCTGATTACACACCATACCACTAAGATCGATGAAGCTCGTTCTTTTCAGAGCTAATATACGGCTTGTTCCCCTTGTGACGGTAGTTGCTGTTTTTGTTTCAGCCGACGCACGATGCACCCCGGGCGAGTCTGATTGTCGATGATGGCATTGCCCTAAGCATGTGCAAGAGTCGATGTCGCCTGAATGGTAGAAAAGCCATTGTCGCGGAGTCTGTTTCGTGTTACTTGCCTTATGCCGATCCCATATTGCAAGCGTCGAAACCAGCAGATACAGCTTCTGGTGTACATGTCGGATTTGGGAGAAAAAGTGCTGAGAGTTGTTTTATGACGGTGTCAAACTTCGATTTGTATACTCTGTTCTCAGATGTCCTTGGATTTCCGCTTGCTGTTGCCATCCTTGCATACAATTAGTCACACACACTATCCGTGTACACTGCGGGTATATTGTTTTTCCTATGACTTTACAGGCCGTTGCCCTAATGATGATACATTCCATCACGACGGTCATCAGAGCAATAGCCGTGCTGTTACCAATTTGGAATTACGATCTGACAGGTCTCTGAAAGCATCCCTCTTGTGAGACCTTGCAATTATTTTGCCTCAAAACGAGAACTGGTTAAGGGCCAAAACGATCACATTTAGATGGAACTAGATCTGGTGGAATTGAACGATGTATTCTACGAAATGTGCCCAGAACGGACAAGAGAAGATGAAGACTTGCGAAAAAATGAGAACAGAATCGAGGTATTAAAATTGTGCCAAATGAAAGACGTAAAAATTCGAAGACCGCTGTGAAGCAAACGTGCCAGTACCACCCAAGGTATCGATGCAGTGCATACTGACCTCATACTAATGTGAACCGACAGACTCGACGGCTTAGCTTTGTACTTCCGCGACCTGGACCTCACTGCACAGGTGCATGTGGGTATGAGCGAGGTATCCACAGGTAAACGTCGATAGATTGAAGCTTGATAGAAAAGAGTGATCATGAGAGACAGCGCACTGTCCCAGATTACCGCGCAGGGTGAAGGTTTTGACGGGGAAAATGTGTAGATCTTGTTGGAAAGAGGTTGGCCACGGCCTTCAATCTATCTGGTATGCAGCAGCCCGGAAGCGCGTTCATGACAGTGAAGAGAGAGAGAGCACATTTGAAAAGTTTGAGAGTACGCTTACAAATCAGCCACAAATGTGTGCAGTGTCAAAGGACCAATGCCGTGTAAACACTCAGAATAGCAAAACTTGGCGCTGTCGGAAACGTAAAGCATCGCCAAGGGGGTGACGCGGTACTGATGTAGGTTTGGAGGACTCACAGACCCTGCACACAGTGACCAGAGTATCGAAACAGTCGGTGGGACCAACTACCACCGATGGCGATTCCAACCACGTGGGAGGGGAAGAAACTGGAATCGGACTTGGAAGCAGAAACACATTCACAGCAACGCAGAAAGCAGAATGTCGATCTTACGTACCCCAGCACAACTTACTTAGCTGACACCACCAGGGGGAAAATGAAAACGAAGACTATTATCTGGCTATCACATCTTAACTCCACCACCACGACACTCAAGCTACCATGCAGAATAAGTCCAGATTGTATGCATACATCAGAAGGCTGGAACCAAGCCTTTATCACTAAAGAAAGAGTCAAAGACAGCCTCCAATGCACACCGACGAACCAGACACGCACTCGAACGGTTATTGATTAGCTAGCGTGACGAGGAGAGCGGAATATAGAGTTGCAGCTGCAACCGCTGCTGCAATAGCGGCAGATTATGCCGGACAGATCGTCCAACACCATAGACAAAATCCAAAAATAAGTGCAAAAACAGGAATCCCATTCTGCTTCAATCTCCAAATCCTTCAAATCAAACAATGATCCTACCTTCGCAAGCTATCTGAAACCACGACCTCCGTCACCAAAAAGGAAACCCACTCAGAGGAGAACCTAACAGGCAAACCGACAGCGCAACATAGCGCTCACAGCACGGACAAGCATACCGTACAAAGCCTTCCAAGTCTTTTTTATTCCTTCTCCCGGCGCTTGTCATTGCTTGGCAGCTTGGCGATAACTCCACCACAACATAAAAACACCACACCTCCACGCGCACAAACAATGTTTCGATGGAAGGCTTGTAAGCCGGAAAAATGAAGGATGACGCACCTCAGTTGAAAGCCTTGCTCGTCAAATGATTTTCCTGAAGGAATACACGGCGAAACCCTGCACCCTTGAAGAGTGAGGCGGTGAAGAGGGGGATCGAGCTCTGTATTACTGAACCGAAGCTGGAGGAAGCAACAGACCACGAGGACCGAGGAAGCAGTGATGGCCACAAGGAGTTCACAACATTGATGATGCATGTTAGTTGCAATTCTCCTTGCTATTAAAAGGTTTTGTGGAGTGATGGCAAGTGTAAAGGTTGTCGGGCGGCTTCATAACTTGGTCCAATTTGAACTCACTTGGATTTAGTGTGGGCACCCTTTGACGTAATCAGAGTGCTTTCTTTGTCGTCAAAGATTGCGTAGAGAAGGCTTTCTTTGTATCTAACCATCCTGACACTATCAATGAAATGCTTTGAGAATATTAGCACATATCAACCTTATGATAGATGACCCATTGTCAACCACCTCCCATTTTCAACATGTAAGGTATACTATTTCCGTTAGATAGGGCAACTAGGTTTGATATCGATTAAAAAAATTCCATTTCTATTGTTTGAAAATAGGTAGTGTGCTGATTAAAATGATGTTGAGATATGAACAATAAATAAAATTCATTGTACTCGAAATGGATTTGCATGAATTATCAATAGGTAGTAATTGTTGATTGGTTGGAAAAGAATAATAGTATAATTAGATGCCACACTTCTCTTGATAGCATTAATAAGTACCACACATCATGGTTTTGTAAAACTTGGATTTTTGATTTTGTAACCCACTACCAATCAAAATTAGGTCTATATGTATAAAATGGATTGAAAAGAATCTTCAGCTAAAATGTTAATATAATTTTTTATTAGGACATATTATGTAAAAATACTTAGAATTGTCCTAATTTCTACTGTCCTACATAGAGACTTTTTTTTTTCCCCATTTTTATTCCTATTCAATATAAGTTGATTATTTATTTATTTATTTTATTGAAAATGGGTTGTCCATATTATATTGAAAAAAATTAAGTCAGTGCATACCATTATGCACTAGACCAAACTAGCATTACCTTTGTTACTTGTTGTACACTATTATGCCAAAGCTATGACTAGCAAAGCAAATTCAAGCATGTGAGTGCTTCTTAAACAAGTATGTAGATTATACTTCTGTAACTACAATTTCCTACCATCATGCAACTTTACACACATTGCAAATAATAGGATGCTAATAATATTTTCATTGGTGCACAGAGAAATTAACACAAACAACTCTCTTCAAGTTATTTCGTCCAAAGAAACTATTTAGAAAGATCAATAAAAGCTGTTGATTAAAAATAGGACCATAAATTCTATTTTATCAAACATAAGGTATTGTGAGACATCAATGATACATTGACTTGCAATTCAGCAAGTACTTAATGAAGAACTGATCTTAGCTTAAAAGATTGCTAATATTATATAACATGATTCAAGCAAGTTTTTCATGAAATTGTTTCATGCATCGCTGCATTTTATATGCCTATTTGAAGTATTTTAGTGGAAATGCTTATGAGTATTATTCTTTGATTCAAGACTTAGGACTAATTATCACCAAATTAATGATAGTTAAACATTGATTTATGCTTAGAAGAATACCTGGTGATGCTAATGGTTGCATGCTTTAGGCATTGTTGTCATACAGAATATTGTAAAAATAACATTCAACTCTTTGATTTTTATGCTCTATAGGACTTAACTTTAACAAGTGCTAAACTTTTTTCAAAATTAAAAAATTTATTTTTTTAAAATTTTATTGGTATTTTCTTTTAAAATAAAATTTGTAAGTTTATTTTTAATTTAATTTTATATATGCAACATAAATTAAATTATCTATAATTACATAAATTATAGATAATTTAATTTATTTTTAAACAATATTGTACATAAAAGCATGTACAATATTAACAATAATTTCAAAAATAAAGTTTGACAATAAATTAGTTATATACTTTATTTTTCAAAAATTAATTTATTGTAAAAAAATTAATAATTATTTTTTTGCTTGAAATTACCTCTTATTTTTATTCACCAAAAGAATTCTTTAACTACTAAGACTTTACATATATGTTTCAATAAATATTATCAAAATTATATTAAGATTAATTTTTATACAATTGTTTATTATTTTTATTTTTATTTAGAGATGCTTTTCATAAATAATACGTGATTTTTTATAAATACACATTGATAAAAAATATTTTAAAAGATAAAAAATATATTAAGAATTAGTATAAATCTAAAAGCATAAAATATCATATATTATTATGCAAACTATTTCTTTTTTATTTATATTTTTATTAGAAGATTGGACTATATAACAATCTTGTATTAAAGATTATTAAAAAAAATAAAAATATAGTGATTTTAGTATTTTAAAAAAAACTTTAAGATAATTATACAAATTTATATAATATTTTAAAAGCTTCTAATTTTTTTTCAAAAAATAACAAAGCTTTTAAAATACCATTTAAAGATGTAAAGATTAAAATATGTTTCATAAAAACTATTGTAAAGGAAATATTGTCACCACAATAGCAAAGAATCAACCATTTTTTTTTCTTTTACAATTACACAATTAGGAAATTATTTACTAGAACATTTAATAATAAAGTTTTATTCTACAAAAGAATTTATTGCATGTAACTTTTCACTACTATAAAGAAGAACTCATATAATTGCATTTCTAACTAACTTATTACTTGTCAATATAAAATTTGATACTACCAACCCTTCTTCTATTTTATCATAACTCTAAGTTTAAAAATTTCTTATCTTACGGCTATTGACTCTTAGTTTAATAATAAAATTGTACCAAATGTAAATTTGAAATGGTTGTAGATTGTGTACTATTTTAACTTATAAATTTTTTTCTTATTAAGAAAGTTGGATGACTTACATCAATTGCTTCTTTCTCTATCTTTTATATTTGCTTCCTTCCACTTATTAGCTACTCTTATAATCACCTAGATTTAAAATACCTAAAAATAATTTAAAGTAAGTCGCTTACTTAAATAGAAGTTGTATCTTAATTTGATTTCTTTTTTCCAAGCTTAAGCAATAATAATCCACTATTCTAAATACAATGAAAAATCAATATTTTTTTCTAATTAAGATTAAAACCGTTTCACCTCTAACAATTACATCAAAATGTGAACTATAATAAACCTCTTTTAATTGGGTAATTTATTAAATCCCACATAAGAATTTATTATATTATTATTTTTATAAATTATATTTATAAATTAAAATATATAAATATTTTTTTAATTTATTTAATTTACTTCAATTAATAAAATAATTTATTGAATTTACTTAAATTAATAAAATAATTTATTGAATTTATATATTCTAGAATTTTTGATCTATGCTTAAGTTTCATCTATCTATAATCCATTTTTACTAGAATTCTACCTATTATTAAATTTCATCTATTAGAATCAATATTTGTATTAATATTCTTTTCTATTAGTTCATCTTAATAAAAAGATTCATCTAATACTAAAATTTATCTATATTCAAACTTCATTTATTTTAAATTTTGACTAAAAATATAAAACATAAAAGAATAATTATATAAAAGGCAAATTTTTAAATTATCCTATACTCTAAATTATTTCAAATGATATTTATTATTTTTCTTTTGCTATTAATATTAGCTATTTAAAATATCAAATCTAAATATATAAATTAATAATGTTCATTCTCTTACATTAATATCAACAATCTCATAGATAATTGTAATTTATTTAAATTGTTGCACTCTTTTTAATATTTATTACATTTATCTTTCTTATATTTACTATGCACTTAATTTCTACTTTTTTTATCTTATATTATTCTATTTAAAATTAAATATAATTCAAGATACTAAATCCTTACTTCAATGTAATTTTTTAAAAAATTGACATTTATATCTATAATTGTAATTTATGTTATTTTTTTTAAGAATGAACTATTATTGATATACATATTTACTCCAATAATTACTTAAAATATAAGAATAAGTAGAAGTAGATTAAAATATATAAATTTGATAATTACTTTTAAACTAGCTTCTTAGAAGCTTCATAGATGCAATTTTGATTTTACACATGTTTGTAGTTGATTAGTAGGTTATAAACTTAGCCAATAAATTAGCCACATATTGCACGTATTGATAGATTGTGGTAAAAGCAAACTATGTGGTATATATATAGAAAACTTACCTTGTAAGTTAAGACTTTTGTCACTTAAAATAAATGTATGTTGGAGATTTAATAGAATATTACTATGTAGCTCTCAATAAAATAGTATATATGGTAGTAAGAGTGAAGCTTTTTTTATTCAACAAATTTTTAGTCTTTAGTCTTGTTTTAAGAATTTTTAGTTTTCTTGTCTTTAACAATATTCATTTAAATTTTAATACTAAATTAATTTTGACTAAATATCTATTCATTTTAAATGACACAAGAGTGTATTTAATTTTTATTTGTTTGAGGTTCATATCCTTGAGAGGTTAATAAAAATACTAACTTATTATTTTATTTTATTTTTTAGAAGTGTGTGGATTATTTTAATTCTATTATTATATTTTAAAAGTTGCAAATTGTCCACCTTAAAACTAACATTTAGTTTTTTAATATTGATTTTTTTTATAGAGAAGAATTAATCTACTATATAGATATTTAAATTTAATATTAGAAGTTGCAAATTATCTTCTTATAATTTTACATAAAGATTTTTTTGAATTATTTATAGAAGGAAAAATTATAGATGCTATTATCAACAGAAGAAAAAATAGATTTGCAACCATTACAAACCTTTATAAGCTTGTCAATACTTTTATGATAGAAATCTCATATATTTCTAACATCAATCATAGAAATAGTATTCCTACGCTTATGGAAGAAGTTAACAATAAAATTCAAAGTCCATGCCAAGAAGTTGTGCAATTGAGATAAGTAAGTAGGTCAAGTTTACAACTAAATCCAAGAAGTCTTACTATTAAGAGTATGAGAGAGATAAGGATAAGTATGTCAGAGAAGTTTGATAGAATAAGATCAAATTTTTAAAGATTTTTATAACTTTAGGACATAAATTTTTGAAGATTCTTTGTATAGAATAAATAAATATTTTATTACTATTTAAATAACAAATAAATGATTAAATAATTATATTTTAAGTTGAAAGTTGAATTTATAAGAATATATTAGTATTAATATAAGATCTAGACTGAAACTCATATGCAATTATAGGTGATGTTTTTTTGCATGTATTTTGTTCAATAAATCATTCTTAATCTTATTTTCTACCTTCATATTGAGCCT